CTGGCCCCGGCAGCCTCCCCCGCCAGCCCCTGCCAGCCGCAGCCCCGGGCAGGGAGGTGCTCTCCCCACTAAGCGGCAGAGGCCCGGCCCGAGAGGCGTTCCCAGGAGCGTCCAGAGGAGCTGGCAGGGTCTTCCGTCAAGACTCTGTGCTTCCTGGAACAGACAGTGCCCAGCGGGGTGGGGGCCGAGGCCCGGCAGTGGGAACTACGTGGGGGTGGTAGGCACTGCACTGCGGGAGAGAAACCAGCGGGGAGTGGGGCTCTGGGGCTAGGGGTGGGGGTGGGAGGTCAGAGCAGGGGTGACGAGGAGGAGCCCACTACAGGACCACTCAAACCGCTTCCAGGTCAACCGTCGGAAAACCAAGGGCAGGCCCTGGCCGATAGCTGGGTTGGTCAGCACTAAGGTTGCAGGTTCGATCCCCAGTCAGGGCACATACCAGAATCAACCAATGAATGCATACATAGTAGAACAAATTGATGTTTCTCTCTCTCCCCACCCCCTTCCTCTTGCTCTAAAATCAATTAAAAAAAAAAAAAGATAAAAACCCAGGGCAGTGAGCAGGTTCCGGGCACGGGCGTGGCTTCCTCTCATCTCCCGTTAGAGACGAGGAGGGGAGGCCGCTCACAGGAGCCATACCTTTCCAGTGCACGGCGGGGAGCCCCACGCGGCTGTGCCCGCAGCTGCTGGCGCTCGGACTCGGCACCCACAGCCCCTGCCTCCCCAGGCACTTCTCCCAACCAACTGCTTGCCCTTTCTGACCTGGGAGTTCTTGCCTACAGGGAAGGAGTAGGACCTATCCTACAAACCTTAGAGCTCATTTGATTTCTCTTTTCTTTAGTCGTCACACAAGGACAAGCTTAGAGCTCTAGAGGAAGGGAGAGAGGGAGAAACATCGGTTGCTTGCCTTCCCCATGCTCCCCCACTGGGGGTCAGACCTGCAGCCAGGCGTGTGCCCTGACAGAACCTACCGGCAACCTGTCGGTGCACGGAATGGAGCTCAACCAGCTGACACTCCAGCAGGCGAGTTCATCTGATATTTCTGTTGTTAATCCTCACACAAGGATATTTTCCCATTGAGTTTTAGAGAGAGAGGAAGGGAGAGAGGAAGGGAGGGAGGGAGAGAAACATCAATGTGAGAGAGACACATTGATTGGTTGCCTCCCTCATGCCTCAACTGGGGCTGAGGATCGAACCTGCAACCTAGGTTCATGTACTTGACCAAGAATTGAACCCGAAACCTTTCAACACTAGGGCCGACACTAACCATTGGGAAACACCAGCGATGGAGAGTTCGTTTGGTTTAGCTGATGTTATGCATGTGAAAGGTTCCCAAAAGTATACACTTCTCAAAATGTAAGGCACTGCTGTTACAAAATACAGCCAATATCCACAAAGCCCGCAATAATCTTCCCAAGGCTCACTCGGTTTAAATATGAGACGAGAGACCTGCAGGACGCTCACCATTAACTGGAATGACCATGGCAGAATCTGCTCCTTAATTAAACAGCAGTAATGAAATTCATAATCTAACTCAGGCAATTAGCTAATAGTGTTAATGTACATTCACAGGAATTTGATACAAATTATGGAAACATCCCTGTAGGTCTCATTTGGACACTTAACAAAATGCTCAAGAGGATCACTACTATCTTAAGATGTTTATTTCCTCAAAAATAGGCAACCCAGTTACCAAAATTCTCATGAAAAAAGCCGCAGGAGTGAGTGGGATACCGGCTAAAGGAAATGGAAACCTGCAGTCATAACCGCCCGATGCTGGCCCCAAGAGCAAAGGGATCACCAAGAAGAAGAGGGGAGAAGAACATAAAAATATAAACTAGAGCCCAGCCGGTGTGCTCAATGGTCAGAGCACAGGCCTGCACACTGAGGGGTCTCAGGTTTGATTTTTGGTTAAGGGCATGTACCTCGGTTGCAGGTTTGATCCCAACCCTGGTCAGGGCACATGCGGGAGGCAACCAATTGATGTCTCTCTCTCACATCGATGGTTTTCCTCTCTCCCCCTCTTCCTCCCTTCCACTCTCTCTGAAAATCAAGGGAAAAAATATCCTTGGGTGAGGATTAACAAAAACAAACAAAAACATATAA